TGACTGCAACATATAAGGAAGACTTATGAAGCTCAGCCTGGGTTATACAGTGAGAGTACCTCAAAAAGCTGGGTGGGGGAAAAGCTGTGAGTTTGCCTGGTATGGATGCATGAAGCCCTGGGTTCAATTCCCAGGGACACATAAACTAGGTTCAGTTACATAAACCAGGCAGTTATCCATATGCCATATTCTTAAGCCTTGGGAGGTATATGCAAGTACATCAGAACTTCAAGGTCATCTGATCTACATAGTGAGTTCAAGGCTAGGCTGGGATATGAGAGACCCTGACTCAAAAACAAACACCTAACAATAACAAAAACCTATAGTCAAAAGTATCATTCTCCTGCTACCCAAAACCTGTTTCTGTTCAAATCCCATCCATATTTTCCTTTTGAATCCAATCCCTAATTTTACCTGGCGTTACCCTTACTTTGAGTCTATGAATTCCTTTGCATTTCTGTACCAAAATCATTCCACCAGTTGGACTCAGATTATCTTCCCTAGCTTTTATTTTTGCCTACATGAAGGAACAAACCAATGACCCTAAACCCTGTATTTCTTTTTTTGCCGCCATCTTTCTTAGACTATGAATTTCAGCTTAGTAGCCACAAGACTTCATTAAATTTCATTAGCAGGTACCCCATTATGCATGAGAACCTGACAACTCCAAAAAGGTAGATTTATCTATATTTAAATTCCACCTATTCCAGGGCAGGAGAGATGGCTTAGCAATTAAGAGTGCTTACTGTTCTTGCAGAGGGCCTTCGTTTAGTTCCCAGCACCAAAATCAGGAGGCTCACAACTACCTCTAATTCCAGTTCCAGGGACTCTCATGCCCTCTGCCCTCCAAGGGCATCTGTATGCATGTGGTACACATATACTCATTCAGCACACACATATATATATAAGAATACATCCTTTGGGGCTAGAGAGATGGCTCAGCAGTTAAGGGCACTTCCTGTTCCTGCAAAAGACCCAAGTTCGAATCCCAGCACCCACATGGTGGCTAACAACCTCCTGTACCTTCAGTTCCAGAAGAGAACCTTTTTCATGAAGGTTCAGTCCCCTAAATGTGTGCCTTGTGTGCAACTAAACAAGTGTCTTCACATGAGAGCATCAAATGGAGAGCATCTGAAATGCAAGCACCCAAAGACAGGAAATACACTTTATGTTTTCAGTTACTTTTTTTTTTTCATTTTAGGAGTACTCTGCCTGCGTGTATGCAAGTGTACTCATGTCATGTACGGCTCACAGAAGACAGAAGAGGGCGCTGGATCCAGATGATTGTTAGTCATCATGTGGGTGCTGGGATTTTAATCCAAATCTTCTGCAAGAGTAGCCAGTGCTTTTAACCACTGAGCCATCTCTCCAGGCCCAGCAGAAATACTTTTAAAGTGAAAATGGAAGAGCCAGCAGAATATCCTTGATATTTATGCATTAAGTATATAAAACAAGATGATGCCAAACATACCAGTATATACCTTTGCTTAAATGGTGTAATATGGAAATTATCCCGTATCAGGACATAGAAACAAATCACCCATTCTGACATCCTGAAACCTACAACAATATAAAAAAAGCATGCTCAAATATGGTATTTGCCATAAAAACTGCCAAAGGCTATAGAAATGTCAGCAGTATGGTGGTAGATTAATTATTATGATATATATGCTAGGCAGTTAGTAACCAACTATTGTGTGTGGAATATAAAGTAAAAACTGATTGGACTGTTTCAAATTAGTGGTCAGTCTTAAATTGGTAACAAAAATAAAAAGGAAACCACAATCATTTTCATGTTTTCAAAACACAAGCTAATCATACGAGAATTCAAAAAAGCGAAATCATAGGCGAAGAAACTGTTACTTCTATAATGCTCAGGCACCAATCACTTATCTGTGGAAGCTGAAACTGGTCATAAAAGGCTGCTTGTAAGCACTCAAGTACTCTGCACATTTGCAAAAACTCCTAAGAACCTTAATATCACAAGGGGATGAAAACAAACGTCATACTCTCAGGACCCTGGACAACACTCAGTTTTATAAGCAAATGAGGATTCCCATGTCTATAATAAAGAATCAGAAAAAATACGCTAAGTAATTTGCTATATATTTTTATCTAAGGAAAAAACACAACCTAACAATCCACAATCTGCTTCTCCAGCCTCTCTTTTCTAAACCGGTAATTGATATTGTTTTCGCCTTCTTTAAATATTCAACAGTTCACCATTTCCTATACAAGTGTGCACACATACACACAGACATACATGTGTCCCTCTAGTTACAGACCATTTAAGATAAAGGTGTACTGTGCACAGATTCAATTAACACTGAGAAATGAATTGCCTTCTGTTTTCCAGTCTTGCTAGATTTTACTATGCCTTTACACAGGCACAGTTGCTGTGTTCCAGTTTCTTATTACAACTTATAAAACTTGAATGTCTACAAACCTCCTGCCCCCTCCTACTACTGTTGCCCCTCACTCCTTCCAATTCATTTCCAGTTCCTTCTTCCTAGGAGAGGCCTTGAACCTCTGGACATTCACATTTCCTATTTCTTCTTCCCAAAAACGGCTGTCTTGACAAATAGCCATTCCCTATTTTTAAGGTTCAAACCCCAGCTCCAATACACACATCATGCGCTTCACATCCTCCTTTTGCTTTTTCCCCTTTGCCCATTATGTTCTCCTTTTAACATTTTTTCCCTTTTCTTTCTGAAGAGAGGGTCTCACTATGTAGCCCCAGTTGGCCTGGCTGGAACTTGCTAATGCAGACCAGGCGGGCCTCAAACTCACAAAGATCTGCCTGTCTGCTTCTGCTTTCCAAGCACTGTGATTAAAGGCCGTGCGCCATCATGCCTTTTATTTTTCTTTTCAATGAAGACAGAGATTTGGGTTTGTTCATTCCAGAATAGTTATCAAAACTCTTATGACTAATGAATACTTACCAAAACTTACCAAAAACCTGAGTCAGTCATGACAGTTCTAGGAAAGAGAACCAAGAGTTGGAGACCAACTGGAGCCACAGTAAGATCAGTCTCTAAATAAGAACAAAACTGAGATGGCTAGGGTGGGTTTTTAAGATTTTATGTGTTGTCTAATGTATGAGTGCACAAGTATGCAGTGCTGAAAAAGGGTGTTGGATCCCTGGGAACTGGAGTTACAGAAGGCTGTGAGGTACCATGCAGGTGCTGGGAAATGAACTAGGTCCTCTGAAGGAACAGGAAATGTTCTTCCCTGCTAGGTCATCTCTAGTCCCAGCTAGGTTGTTTTTAATGACAAAGTGGCTCATCCATACTACTTTTCTCTCTCAGGCTAATAATCTATACCCCACAGATACTCAAATCTGTCCAAGTCAATTTCCAATAACGTGCAGTTGTATAAAATTCATTCTATTTTAGGAGGTGAAGGAAAAAGGACCAAGAGTTCACGACGAGCCACAGCTACACAGTGCATCTGTGGAAAGCCTCGGCTACATGAGACCCTGACTCAAGAGATCTTATATTCCTTATTATTTCTTAGTTACTGGCTCAGGAGTCTAAATGTAGTAAGCAAATAAAAGGATTATGAATGAATGTGGGAAAAAAAAAATCACATTTTCACTTGAGTTTCCAGAGGCAGTGCTTACAGTACAACAAAGTGTAGCAGGGCATGGGAGCTCATGCCTCCCAGCAGTGAGGAGGTTGACACAGGAGGATTGCTATGAGTTTGGAGGCCAGTATGGTTATATAGTGAGTTTCAAACCAGCGTGGACTACACTGTGATATTCTTTTTCCAAAAAAAGAAAGAAAAAAGAAGAGAATGGGCTTAGAAATTAGCTGAAAAAAATTTCTGCTAGCCTTTTAAAAAGAAAATCGTGATGTACATCCGGGGGCAGTGGAAGGGTTCCGTGCCCTAGCATGTTTTAAGCGCTGGGTGTTTGTTTTTCTTTCCCATCGCTGCAAGCAAACTAAACAAGAAACAAAATTGAAATCAGATCTTGTATTCTTTGCCCTTTGGCTTTTACGGATTTAGTTGTTAGAGAGCCAGAAAATCTCTAAGCACGGGGGGCTGCTTTGTTGTCTTCTCTGAGTGCCAGTAACAACATAGAAAGAATCCGGTCCATAAATATCTCGAAATTTGATTCCAAATAAACTAACTTAAAATACTTTAAACATGTACCCAAGTCCACTTAACACCAGAGAGTTATAAATTGAACCGCTAAAGCCCATCTAAGTTTTTTTTTTTTTCAAGTTTTTTTCACTCACTGTGTAACTCAGAATAGCCTCAAGCACCTACCTATCTTCCTGTTTCAGTCTCCTGGGACGCTGATGACAGGTATGTTCCACACCTGGCTTTTTAGCGAAGGTCTTAAACACAACTGTAAATGCTAAGACATGGCAAGAATTTTACTAAGAAAATACGCTCATCTGTGCCATGTTTTGTAACAACACTAAAATCAAAAGAAAAAAATATTCACTCCTAGAGTAATGGCACACTTACTGAACAATAATTTAAGAAAATAATCTATTAAAAGAGAGTAACGACATTCTTAAGCATACATGCAGGTCTGTTTAGGTAGTTTCTAAACTAACTTTCTAAACTCTCAGATAAAAATTTAGTCCCATCAACCTAAAAGCCTTCTTACAGAAAAAAAATGGTTAGCAAAATGGGCAGTTTAGTGTTTCTAACAAGACCAGACAGCATACCCACCCAGCTGCAGTGACTTTATCAATAGACAGCACGTTAATGTTCCTTGGCACCCAGATCTATGCAAGCTCATGGAATGATCACCACAGAAAGGACGTGGTTATGAAACCATCAAGAGTAAACACAGCACACCACAGATACTCCATTCGGACGCTGTCCTTCCTCCTTTTGTCCCTGTATTTCCATTTTTCCCAAGTTGTGAAATCCGCACCCACACCCCATCCCAAATCTATCAGCGGGGCGGGCGGAGGCTGAGTCATTCCCGAGAGTAACTTTACACCGATCCTCGCACTCCGGGGTCGGGACAAAGACATCACCTCTGGGTTCCTCCCCTGTGCGCGCTCCCTTCGGCCCCGGTCCAGGACCTCTCGGGTTTCCCGAGTCGGCACTCCATGAGGGCGAACCCCGGCCGCGGAGCCCACGGCAAGGACGCCTCGGGCGTCCACGAGCCCCGCCACTCCCGCAATTCCGTCAGGTGCTGGCCGGCGGCGCGCTCGGGGAAGCCACAAAGCGGCCACTCGCCTGCAGCGTGGTGGGGCCGGCGACCTCCGGCAGGGCCTGCTCTGAGACGGGCGGGTACCGCGCTGGGCTGCCGCCGCGGCTCCGGGACCAGGGGCGGCGGCACTCACCCGGCGGCGCCTCCTCCGCTGGCCGCAGCAGCACAGCCGGCAGCCCCCGGCACCATCTTCCGCCGCCGCCCTGTTACCGGCGGCGTCTACCGACCGCCCATTCGGTGTCGCCAACCGACACAACCGCCGGCGCCCGGCTGCCGGACGCCCGCCGCGACCCTGAGCTCCAGGCACGCAGGCGTTGGGCGCGGGCGGCAGGCCCCTCGGCTCTGCGTCCGGGGCCGGGAGGCCGGAGCCGAGGTGGTCAGAGCCGAGGGGCCGGGGAAGGGACCCGAGAGCTCGGCAGGGCCTGGATTCGGCCGCGGCGGGGTTTGTTATTGTCGACTCGGGCTCTTCCTCCGCGGAGCATGCCGGGAAACCAAACCTCTGCTCCGCGGAGCAGGCCGGGGGAGGGGCGCCCCGGGCCGCGCAGCGAGCGGTCTGCGCAGGACCGGAAGTCCCGTGGCAGCCCGGACTGGGGCGGCTCCTCCTGCTGGCCTCCGGCCGGGCTGGCTGCTGGGCTGTCCTGCGGTGACCCGGGAAGGTTTGTGGGGCGGCCTGCCGTGCTCCCCGCCTGCCGGGCGCGGACTACCAAGGCGAGCTCGACCTTCGCGCCGGAGTAGGCCCGGGCTGGTAGACCCCGCCAGACTCCGGAGCCGTCCCGGAGGCGCCCGAACCCGACCGAGGCCTCTGAGACAGGACCCCGAGGGCAGCGCCTGGGCCGGCAGAGCTGTCCTCAGGGCCGCTCCGGTCCCGAGGCTGGGACCGCAGGCAGCTCGGAAAGCGCGCCTGCTTTGCGGGCGGGGCGGCACGGTCAGACAGGTAAGCCAAGAAAACCCAGGGGAGAACCGTGTGAAGCCTGCTGCTTTGACCGGGGCTCCGCACGACCGTCGGCTTTAAGCGAAGTCGTGAGTTCTGTTTTGGGTTGACGGTTAGCACGGACGGAAGACCGGCTCGGGAGAACACTGCGTTTGTGAAGATTGTCGGACTCGGGCAGTGACGGGAAGCCACAGACCTGGAGTATTAAAATTTGGTGAACCAACGTTACTGTGCTGCTTTGCAAATTGTTATCTTAGAATATCTGGTAAAGTAAACGTTTGGGAGCGTGATCTCCATGCCACTGAGTTGTTTCTGCAAAGACGAGCAGTATGAGGTACCAAACTGAACCAGGTTTGCGCTCCTTTTTTTGTTAGGGTTCGCGAGGAAAAACATTTATTTGGTAAGCATTACCGACTGTTTGCATCACACTGACTCAGGATCTCCTAAGTCATGATTGTTTCTGTCACTTTATTTTTAGCTTTCCACTGCAGCCATGTCCCAGAGAAATCTTGACCATATGGCTTTCACATGCTGTTTTACATGCTCTGTGGTTTTCAACTGGAATTTTATTTCATTACTCCAGGAAAATAGAGCAAAAGTGAAAAATAATAACTAGATTGTTACTGTACCCTACAAAGATTTGTGTGGTGGCCCATCAAACAAATGAGCACACAAAAAATACTGGATAAAGAAAAGTATAGCCGGAAATTGACTATGAGAAACTCGGGCTTAGAGATGGCCTAGCTGGCAAAGGCACTTACTGTCAAAACTTAGTTCTATCCTGTGACCCACAAAGCAGAGAGAACCAGTTCCTGTAAGTCTGACCACATTTGCACACATACACACACAGTTCTAAATTACTTTAAAAAACAATGACACCTCTAGAATACATGGGTGCTTGTCCTTCCCCACATATCAGTGATATTCTTCAGTACAAATATAGTCCAACTTAGAATGTAAGATCATCACATAGCCCCATGACAGTCTATCTACTAAACAGTATTTTACTTGTCCCAGACTTTAATAATTTAGTCCTAATTCTTTTTTTTTTACTTTTTATTTTGTTTATTTTTATTTTATGTGTATGAGTGTATTGGCCTGCATGTATATGAGTGCAGCGGTGTTGTGCAGTGCCGTGGATGTCAGAAGAGGGTTTCAGATTCCCTTGGAACTGGAGTTATGGATGGTTCATAGCCGCCATGTGGGTGCTGGGAATCAAACCTGGGTCGTCTGCAAGAGCAGTCAGTGCTTTTTAACCTCTGAGCCATCTCCAGCCCCTAGTCCTAATTCTTTTAAATCAGGAACTTGAAGAAATTACCACAGATGTCTCATTGATACTTTATGTGGCATTGTAAATGTTTCAAGTTTATATACACCTAAAATTCTTTTCTAAGGCTAAGTGAAATGTGTAACATTCTGTAAGTATGTGTGTGTGTATATGTATACACACACACACACACACACACACACACATATATATATATATATATCTACCAAGGAGGTTTGCTACTAATCTTGTCTTTTGTCAGCATCTATTTTCCTTCATACTAAGCCTTAGTAAGCAAAACTAAAGAAAAAAATCTCCCAGCAGAACCACTTCAGATACCTTCAGACAGTATCATTTTGGCTTCTGGGCTTTTCTCAAGGAAACTGCAAACAAATTAGCAGGGACTTCCAAATTGTGTTATTAAATGGACACTGCTAAAAAATTTAAACTTACTAAGGTACTTGCCATTTTAATTATTCATGGCTCCCCCTTTCCTTGTGTTTTGTCTCTCTTGGTTGTTCTAAATGTCTGCCCGTTACTTGATTCTCTGCCAAATTCAAATAATGATGCTGTGAACTATATGAAAATTTGGTGCTGTGAGGTGTGGACATCAAATCTTGGCCTCCACACTTTTTAAAAACTTAATAGCCATTATCAGTGTTTCAGAATATTTTCAGTAAAGACAAGAGAAGTGAAGGCATTTGCCACCAAGCCTGGTAACCTGAGTTCTGTCCCAGAAACTCAAAGGTGCAAGGAGCAGACTGACTCCAAGGGGTCTGCCCTGACTTCTGCATGCGCACCGTGGCACACACAATGAATAACTTGTAAGGTGATCTTCTTCAGGAGTGCAGGGTTTGTGGACTGTCTGCTAGTGAACACTCGAGTACTTCAGTTCAAATCTGTAAACACTATTTTTCCCTTAGCATTAATTTCAATGTGTTCTGGTTGTTCCCTGAGGGGCCTGTGATTTTAGATCCTCAAGTTATATCTTCTAAGTGTCTAACATGCTGAGTATAAATCTCCTATTTAAAATACTAACTCTGGCCGCATGTGGTTTTGCATGCCTTTAATCCCAGCACTTGGGAGGCAGAGGCAGGTGGATTTCTGTGAGTTCGAGGCCAGTCTGGTCTACATAGTGAGTTCCAGGTCAGCTGGGGTTGGGGAGATCCTGTCTCAAAAAGATTAAAAAAATAAAAATAAAATATTAACTCTGTCGCTAGGTGTGGTGGTGCACAATTTAATCCCAGTACTCAGGAGGCAGAAGTAGGCGGGCCTCTGAATTCCAGGCCGCCAGGCCACATATTAAGTTTCAGGCCAGCGAGATGGTAAGACCCTCTCTCTAAAATGTTAACTCTGCCCCTGATGCCTAATGCACAGTAAATGTTGGCAGTGCCTCACAGCTTGTTCGGGCCCTCTAGATCTGACTGACCTTTCTGGCCTCCATTATTTAGCCATCAAAGACCACTCTTAAGAACCTTAAGTGATTTTGGTTTTTATATCAGATACAATTTAAACATTTTAAACATAGACCAACAAAAAGCTTACCATGATTAGTTACCAACCTATCTCCTGACATCTTTTTGTTCATGATGGTCTCTGAATATAACCCAGCTGACCTGGAACTGGAAAATTAGTCTGCCCTTTGTCGTGAATGCTGAAATTACAGGCTTGTGCTACCCACCTTCCCCCTTTCTACGTGCTTTATGAGTTTGTCCATCCAGAATGTTCTTCCCCGCTTCCTAACAGAGCTTGGACATTTGCAGCTTCCAACTTGTGAACAATCTGGTGCTCATAAACTTGTTAACTTTTGACATAACTGTGAATATGGATCTCTCCATGTCCAGAACGCTCAAGATTAAATACTATACATTACTAATTTTTAAATTCATAGAACATTTTAGAGCACTTACACAAAAGTTATAAAATACCTGTAGAATGCAGTAAATTATGTAACTGCTTATGTTGAAGGCCTAGTAAGTTTCTGTGGAAAACTGCTGTCTTCAAAGGCCAGTAGTAGTACAGGAGATCATTAAAAAAAAAAGCAACGACCACAGAACTGTAGTGATAGCTGTCCACCTGGGAAGTAGAGGTAAGAGGATCAAGAGTTCAAGGTCATTCTGTTATACAGTGGGTGGACACCAGCTTGGTTATGAGACCCTGTCTCAAAACCAAACTGCAAACAAGTTTATATGGCATTAATATTTTACAGAATACCTTAAGGATGTTGGGGTGATTGTGGTACATATCTTAATTTTGTTGGTTCTGCCTGATTTGAGATTCCATTCAGAACATATACTAAATATTTCTCAAACAACTTCATGTTATTACCCTGACATTTTAAAGGTAATGTTCAAATAGCAGTCACTGCAAGCATAAATTAGTCATGTTTATAATTTGGCTTTATTTAGTGTAAATCAAAATTACTCTCTGTTGGGACTGGTGAGATGGCTCAGCAGTTAAGAGCACTGGCCATTCTTGCAGAGGACCCAGCTTCAATTCCCACAGTAACTCCAGTTCCAAGGGATCTGAGGCCCTCTTCTGACTGTCATGGGCCTTGCACACATGGGTGTACTTACAGACCTGTAAGCTAACACTCATACACAAAAAAATAGAAATAAACTATTTTAGGATAAATAAAAATTTAGAGCTGGTAGGGCTAGAGAGATGGCTCGTTGATTAAGAGCACTTCCCTTTCAGAAGACCCAGGTCAGGGGACTGCAACTGCCTATAACTCTAGTTCTGGGGTATACAATACCCCTGGCCTCAGCAGGCACCTGGATATACGTGCACAAACACGTAGATGAAATGTTTTCTGAAATTGAGGGCTGGGGCTGTAGCTCAATAACAATGCATGTTAGCATGGATAAAGCCCTGAGTTCAGTCCCACCACGTAAACACAAAATAGCTGGGAGTGGTAGTGTATGCTTGTAATCGTAGCTCATGGAAGGCTGAGGCAAGAGCACTCTGAGTCAGAGGCCAGCCTGAGCTAATTTCTTACCCTATCAAAATAACACTGTGGAGCTAGAGAAATGGCTCACTGGTTAAGAGCACTGGCTGCTGTTGTATAAGACCCAGGTTCAAAGCCCAGCACCCACGTGGCAGTGACAGCCGTCTGTAAATCCAGTTCCAGGAGATCTGACACCCTCTTCTGTCTTCTGCAGGCATTGCATGACACGGGTACACTTACATACATGCAGGCGTAATACTCATATACATAAAATAAAAATCAAAAAATTAAAAAAATAACAGTAACACACAGTCCTCTATCAGAGAAGCATATCTCATGGGGAAGATACCTGCTGCTTGTGAGACACTCTGATACTTCCAGTTCCTTACTCTCCTGATTCTAATACTGGCTCTGCATTGATTATACCATCTTCTAGTGGTTTTAAATACAGTAACAGGAGCCTGATCTTGAGAGTCCATTACCTTACTATTTTGATTGGATGCCTCAGTGGGGAAACTTGTGATTATATTTATTTTAAAAATATAAAATTTCGCCGGGTGTGGTAGCACACACCTTTAATCAGGAGGCAGAGGCAGGCAGACTTCTGTGAGTTCAAGGCCAGCCTGGTCTACATAGTGAGTTCCAGGACAGCTGGGGCTACAGGGAGACCCTGTCTCAAAAAAAAAAAAAAAAAAAAAAAAGACCAAAAAAATAAAATTTCATAATTAAAACTTAGGAAACTCTCAGAGTTTACCGTTATAATTCTCTTTAGCTGTCTTAACAGTTAATCTAGTTTTTATAACTTTTCTCAAGTTTTACAAATTAGGAATTGATTCATGGAGACTAAGTTACTGAATCAGTATACTTCCTGTAGTTAGTGTTCCTTAGCTAGCCCCTGTCAGGACCAGAGTTTCAAACCACCTATTAAGGTTCCTCAGACCTTAATACATAATATTGCCCCTTATTTTGTTGTCAATTCAAATTAAGGAAGAAAAGGGTAAAAGTTTAATAGAAGTTCATCAGTAAACTGGTTCTCAGTGACAGAACTGTTATTTTGGGCCAGGCAGGGGGTGGGGCAGGTGCTGAATTAATGCTTAAGGGGCTGGGCTGTCGTGTGCCTTAGGATTTTTAACAATGTCCCTGGTCTCCCTCCACCTGATGCCAGTGATCCTCCAAGTATGATCATTGAATGTCCGAAGACACCCAGTTCCCTAGGGACTATTTCCCAGAGTCACAGCTCTAGCCTATGGCACATCTTCACAGTGAAATATAGTACAGGCACTGAAATTGCATTTTAGAAAAACATTTAAAGACATAGGTGATAGGTAAAAAGTTGGCAGAGAACGAGCGAATGGATGATGAGGCACCGAGGCACAGATAAAACTCCATCAAAATAGGGATTATTAGCAAAGAAACACATGGGACAGATTCCCTTCCGGGCAGGGAAAATTTCTGCCCGGGTCTTGAGCTGGGGTCTTTATAAAAGGGAGGCTTCTGCTTCCTGCAGAAGGAGGAAGGATGTATTTTTTTTAAGTTGGGGAGAGGGTGGGAGAGCAGGACTGTTAAAACCTGTCCTCTTTAGAGATCTAAGGGGAAGCCTGCTGTATTGGCCAAACAGTGGAGAAAAGTCAGCTTCTCTTGACTTCAAAGACCAAGGTGCTTATGCAGCTAGGTTCCCTTTTCTCAGAAGCATGAGAAGTCCTTGGGATCCTGTTGGTAAGGGGGCAGGGCTATCTGAACCTTAACATTAGGAATTAGATTACTGTAATTCACAGTTTTTCATATATTAGTGTCTCTGGAAAACTATGAATGTATGTAGCCATGGAAGAGGGTCTTAAATCTTGTCCTCGAACTGCCATCCATTCCTTGTGCATATCAAACTTCAAAAGTGGTAGCTTGGGGAAAAAAATCTAAAATAAATAAAATGGTAAAGATGTAAACATAAGGTAACAAAAGCTTGCAGAGCAGTTGGAGAAGCAGTCAGCCATGTTACACAACATTCCCTAAGACATCAGCCCCTGGGCATGTTCATTCTCTTCCAGATTCTTTAAGGAACTGCTTGTGTCCAGTGATGCAAAGGATAAATTACACGGAGAAAGAAACCCAGGCAATCTCCATCATCAAAAGGAAGTCAGAAGAGTTAGCTTTTGAGATTTAGGAAATTTTAGAAACATCTTCTAGTGTATCTTGCTTCTCTTTTTGTGTATAGAGCAGTGTGATTTTAAAAAGTGTCTAGTGGAATTTACAAAAGCTCTATAAATAAATACAAAGTGTATACTTTTTTGCATCTTCTAAACTACATGTCCTTTGCTTGTTTGTTTGGTCCCATAGGGATCCATCTGCCTCTGTCTCCCAAGAGCGCCACCACACCTGGCCTAGACTACATGTCTTTTGTAACCTAAAATTAATTTTTTTTCCAGTTTGCTGAAGGCCATGTGTTTTAATAAGATTTGTTTTCAGGCTTAGTTTCTCAAATTATTCTTTAGTTTTAGTCAACCTGCTTTCCATGCATGCAAGTTTTTTTTTTCAGTAGTCATTTTTCCTACATTGATTTTATGGATGTGCAGACTTGTGGTGGTCAAAGGACAGGCTATCAGTTTTCTTCCAACATATGGTTTCCACAGATCAAACTCTAGTTGTCAGGCTTTGTGGCCAGCACCTTTACCCACTGTGTTGTCTTGCTGGCCCCTCGTTCATTCTCTGTGTTTTGTTAAGGAGCATGACACCTGGGTTCCAATCCCACACCAGTCTCTAGTGTCATGTGGTTTAAGACTTTCTTCCTACTCTCTAAACTATACTGTCCTCAAAACCATAGTCCCTACCCCTTCCTGGTTCTCTCATTGGTGAATAATCTCACCTTTAAAAAATTTTTTTTAAATTTCATTTTGTGTGTGTGAGTGTTTTGCCTACATGTATGTAAGTGCACCTGTGTCTTGCAGTGCCTGGAGACCAGAAGAGGGAGTTTGGGACAGTTGTTAGCTACCATGTGGGTGCTGGGAACCAACCCTGGTCCTGTGCAAGAGCAACCAGTGCTCTTAACTGCTGAGCCATCTCTCCAGCCCCCTAATATCACATTCTTAATTCATGAGTGAAGAACTTCCTTACTTTCCTGCCAAGAATCTGCAGTCACATTTGTACCTAGACCTACTGTCAAACCTGTCACTATTCTTGCCAGCCCATTTTACTATCTCAGTCTGTCATTCTGTGGAAGCACTGGTAAATGCTAGAGAAGCCACACCTGTATTAAAAGATGCTGACCTGTTGATTAGAACTTTGATTATGGAGAGGTGTTATATTGCAAAATAAGAACCAAAGTATCCTGGGCTGTCATTAGTCCCCTTAATAGCTACTAATTCCCACCTCTGTATGTTCTAACATCCTTGTGACTCATGTGAAACACTATGGAATGTATTAACAGACAGCTTGCTCCACTTACCCCAAAGCCCAGATCATCATCAGAAAACATCTTAGACCTATAGTGAAGATTTCCCCCACTGTGCTGTAATCCTAGTATTTCCAATATGAAAACTGCCTTGATTTATGATCTTTTAACTCTAAAACTACATATAGATATAGATATAGATAAAATTAAAACTTCATGAATGCATGGTGGCATACATCTTTAACCATAGCACTTAGGACGCAGAAGTAAGTGGATCTCTGTGAGATCAAATCTGGCCTGGTCTACATAGTGAGTTCCAGGCCAGGTGGGACCTGGGAGACCTGTCTCTTAAAAAAAACAAGGGGCTGGAGAGATGGCTCAGTGGTTAAGAACACTGACTGCTCTTGCAGAGGACCCAGGTTCGATTCCCAGCACCCACGTGGTGGCTACGAACTGTCCTTAACTCCAGTTCCAGGGGAATCCGAAGCCCTCTTCTGACCTCTGCTGCATTACACGGTGGGTGTACTCACATACATGCAGGCAAATACATTCATACACATAAAATAAAAATAAAATATTTTTTAAAATTATCCATTCTGAGTATCATACACTAATTATGCCATTAGCAAGACTGGAAGTCCAGGGAGACATTATATATGTGTGCATGCATTTTGCAAGGTGCTAGGAATCAAGCCCAGAGCCTCACCTGCTAGATAAGCCCCTTCCCGCTGGACTGCATCCTCAGCGTCCTGGGGGAAGTGACACTGCAGATTGTGGTTTTGAGAAGCAAGAAGTCATCTGCAGAGCCTTTCGGTCCCTCTCTCTGGTTATCAACACCCCTCTTGAAATGAAGACCTGAAGTAAATCCTGATCTTGTCATTTTCAAATTGGCCTTAAGATTTAAAAAAAGTATGTCAATTGTGGTGGCACACACCTTTGGTCCCAGCACTTGGGAGGCAGAGGCAGGTGGATCTCTCTGAGTTCAAGGCTAGCCTGGTCTACATAGTGAGTTCCAGGTCACCTGGGGCTACAGGGAGACCTTGTCTCAAAAAAAAAAAAAAAAAAAAGGGTCTTATCCATACATAGCTGATAGGTTACATACATAACATACATAGCTGGTGGGTTACATTTAGGAATTAGAAAATGTGGGATCTTGTTTTTGGACAGTTGTCAAGTTCCCCTTTTTGTTTGGTTAATTGTTTTCTTACATAATAAAAAAATGTAAAGATTTTGTGTGTGTGTGTGCATTTGTGTATGTATGAATTCAGAAAAGGACTTTTGGGCTCAGTTATCAGGAGTCTAACTCAGGTTGTCAGACTTGATGATAAGCACCTTGACCTGCTCCACTTTGGCAGCCCTGGTGGTTTCCTGTTAGAGTGCCTCTGTGGCTAGGCTCTCCTCAAATTCATGATCCTTCTACCTCAGCTTCGATTGTTGGGATTACAGGCCCTGCACTACCTTACCTGGAAAATTCTTGAAAACTTTGTCACCTAACTGTATACATTACAATGAAAAATTGCACGTAAGAACTATTACAGTGCTGACTTTCTAATATCTGCCCATGCACCTCACATATCTGCCCATGCACAGCTTGTACCTCAACAGAAATACATTATTCTAGAGCCAAATATGAGTAACCAAGACCTGGGAACATTCAGGTTGCTTTGTAGGAATGATTTCATCGTGTTTTCATAGTTCCTGAAAATAAAAGTCAAGTTTCAAGGCATATTTAAAATACATTGGCAGCAGCAGCAGGTTTAGGTGGGTTTTAGCAAAGTAGGAAAATGTCTTCTGTAGGTGTTGAGTGTTACCTCATGACATTCTTATGTTTGGGGTTTGTGAAAGCTGTGGGCAGTGAATGGCTTTTAAGGGACTAAAGATAGTCCAGGATAATTTTATGAACCTGCAACAATCCAACTCTATAATCAAGAAAGTTCAGTCCTTAGCTTTGTAAAATCATAGGTGTGACTTTTTTCTAAAATGTTCAGTGTACATCCCAAATACACCTTAGAATGGCCATTTGATAATTCTGGAGAACTGCAACTCCAGCAGGTTTTGAAATCTCCACTGTTTATATTTTCATTTAAACACCTATTTACACTTAAAACACTGTCAAAAATAATTCCAAATATTTCTTCACCTTTTTCTGTCCATTTACGTTCATGTGTTGGGCCTTCATCCCTTACACCACGAGAGTTCTGGAACCTGAGTAAACGAAGAAGCAAAATGCTTGCTTTTTGGCCGTGAATGCACGTATGAAGCTCCCGAGAACAGTTTACCATCCCATTTTAAGATTATCTTTTTTAAAATAATGAACATCATCAAGAAAGCTCTCACCAGCTTTTGTTAAGAAGTTACAGGAAAAAAATAAAAAGCACTATGATATATATGCTTTGGTCACAGAACAGAGAGATGAAGCTGGAATTGACATGGACACTCCCTTCCTCCTGTTTAGCCCTCATAGTGCTAGAAGGTGCTGTGCAGCCTGCTGGGGATCAGTTATCAGTAGTCTTCAGCTGTGGGCCCTGCGTGCTACATTACTGCCAGGTGAGATGTGCCCAACTGTGTCACATTGCAAGTCTTACAGGGATAGCCCATGGCTTTCTGATTAGATTTTCTACAGGAAGGAATTCACATCTGGTATTGTAGACCTAGTTAAATTTCATGGCTTGGGAGGTCACATGCCCTAGTGTGGAAGCTATAGTTATTATTTTGATAAATGGACTTGATATGCCTGTCAAATTGCCCTCTAAATAATTATGTTCATGCCCATAAATTAGTGCTGCTGTCAGCTATGGTCAGAGAAGCTTCTTTTTGCAGTGGCCACAGAGACTCATAACTGGCCAAAGTGTTGAGAATAAATGTTGTTCAGCCGTAAGTGGGATGTCTAGATCGCCCCCACTAAGGTACAGGGAATGTTGCAGAATAGAGGACAGAAAGAATGTAAGAGCTTGGGAGTGGGCGGAGTGTTGTTAACTGCTATCCTCCAAGTATGACATAGCTGATGTTCTTGAGCTCACTGCAGCTGTGATTACCTGCAGAAGACCTGCACAGAATTGGGCCCATCAGCATGAAGGGAGTTAGGAACTCATGAGGCCCCACCCTTCCCTGAGTATTTACAGTTAGTGGCTGCTCTTGAAGGGAGAGATTATCTTCTTCAGTAGTATAGTCACTGGTAAGGTGCCCATGGCTCCTGTAAGCATTCCTAATGAAATTCACCGAGTCACCTCAGAATTGAGGAGAATAAAAGTAGAAAGGATTCTAGATGGAGAGAGAAATGGGGTCAGTGGGAGGGCAACAGATAAAGGTAATGGGGTGAATGTGATCCAAACGCCTTGTAGACAAATATGAACATGTCACAATGAAACCCATTACCTATAGCTAATATTCACTAATAAAAAGTTTTAAAGGCAGCCTCGTGTGGTAGTGCACGTGTTTAATCTCAGCACTTGAGAAGCAGATCTGGGAGTTCCAGGTGTGCCTGGCCTGTACAGATCAGCTCACAAACTCAGATCTGGTCTCAAAGAAACAAGGAGAGGGGGTGGGACAAAAAGATATATCTAGGCAGATGTGGCAGCACTTCTGTAATCCCAGCACTCAGAGACAGAAGGATCTTGAGTTCTAGGCTAGCCTGGTCTAGGCTAGCCTGGTATACCCAGTGAGACTCTGAAAAACCAAAAAACTATTATGTGTAAAAACATTGAAAAAAAGTGGAGCTGGAGAGATGGCTCAGTGGTTAAGAGCACTGACTCTTGCAGAGGACTCGGGTTCAATTCCCAACACCGACATGGTAGGAGCCATCTGTAGCTCCAATTCCAGGGGATCTGATGCCTTCTTCTGACCACCTCGGGCATTGCACAACATGAGTGCACTTACATGCAGGCAATACATTCATACACATGAAATAAAAATAAAATTTAAAAACCATTCAAAAGAGTATCGTTATCTTTTTCATATTTCATGTACCTGCTTCAGAAGTATTAAGATTTTACTTACAGAGCTGGGCATGGTGGTGCACACCTTTAGTCCCAGCACTTGGGAGGCAGAGGCAGGCAGATTTCTGTGTGTTCAAAGCCAGCTTGATCTACATAGCGAGTTCCAGGCCAACTGGTTCCAAAAAGACCAAATACATACATAAACAGTAGATGCCAATTAGTAATAATAGACTCCAATATGTCTGCTTTTATGATGACCACATGCCAATAATCCTGAACAGGGTCAGTGAAATACTACTCCCCCTGGAAAACATTCTTTTAGTTCAAGACAAGGTTTCTCATTCTAGAATCACTTCAAGCCAAGTATTCATTTTTTACAATGTCTTGTGTAGTTTAGAATGTGTAAGTCTGTCCTTGGCCCCTTGACCAGCAGCAACCCCTTTTTCCCACGTGTAACAGATGTGTCTCCAGATATTGTCGAATGTCCCTTCAGCACTGTCAAGGTTGATCTTGACCTAGGTTATAGATAAATCCTGTGATGTCCTGTGAGCTTAGCAGGTGGCTAAGCTTCAGTTTAGCACATTTTATCTTTCTGTTTGTTCAGTTTTTGTGCTAGGGACTGAACTGGCCTTACACACTAGGCAAGCTCTGTCCCCGACCGCTTTCCGTCTCGCCGGCAAGAACGACGCGGGAGGACAAGTCAGGATCCTTCTGCAGCAGTTTATTGTATGCGCATCTTACACTCTTAGAAGCTTAAAGACCGAAGACGCCGAGAAGCGGGAGAGCGGTTGCTTATATAGTCTAAAGGTCCCATCTATGACGTATAAGAAGCGGATTGGTTGCTGGAGATCACCCCACGGGAGGAGGCGAGGGAGAGCAGGCTCTTGTGCACACCCCTTATGGGCGCAGCAGGATGTTTACTGTTAAGAAGGTCCAGATACCGGCGCCATCTTGTAATGGCGGCGGAGGCTGTGGCTCTCCACAGAGTCAGCCATGTCAGGAGATCCTTGGTGACAGTGGACATTGTCCCAGATCTGCTCTGTCAGAAATGACCTCACCCACATCTCTTCCTTTTGCTTCTTTGAATATTAACCAGGGAGAGGGCTGTTTTCTGGGGAGTAGAGGGTTCCTTTCTGCCCAGGTCTGGCACTGGCCCTTTATTT